GCTGGGGACATGCCAGCGCACGGGGGGGGGGGGGGGGGGGGTGGGCATAGGGATGCGGGGGTTCAGCATGGGTTGGGGGGAGTGGGTGGGTTGCACTGGCGCCCATTCCCCTCAGTAATACCATCCAACCAGACACCCACCGGGGGGGGGGGGACCACGGGGTGGGAGAGCACCCCCTCCAAACTCCATGGGGCTCCCCAAAACAGCCCCCCCGCCCCCCCCCCCCCAGCAGCAGGGCCCCCCTCAGTGACTGCCGGAGGTGAGGAAACGGCCCACGTCACCGACCGCAGTGCCGGGGCTGCTGCGCCGGAAACCGCCCGATGGCACAGCCACGGCAAAGCGGGGCGGGCGCCCCCCGGCCCCCCCCGGCGGGTCCCTGCGCCCCCCCGTGTTCCCCCATCACGGCTCCTCATGGCGGGGCTGGTGCTGCTGGGCCCAGCCGGGTCCCTGCCGCGACAGCGGGCAGAATTGGGCCTCGGCCGCACTGGGGTGCCGGGCAGCGGTGCCCCACGATCTGGGGGGAATTTGGGGCCCCCAAGCTGGGACAGGATCCCCCAGCGCGGCTGCGGGTGCCACCGCCGGGTGCATGGCGCGGGTCAGGGAGGAGCAGCGTCATCTCCTGTCCATCATCCGTCCGCCCTTCCCTCCACCTGTCTGTCCGTCCATCCCTCCGTCCGCCCTTCCCTCCACCTGTCTGTCCGTCCATCCCTCCGTCCGCCCTTCCCTCCACCTGTCTGTCTGTCCATCCCTCCGTCTGCCCTTCCCTCCACCTGTCTGTCCGTCCATCCCTCCATCCACCCTTCCCTCTACCTGTCTGTCCATCCCTCCCTCCCTCCCTCCCTCCCTCCCTCCCTCCCTCCCTCCCTCCCTCCCTCCCTCCCTCCCTCCCTCCTTCCCCCTGTCCATCTGTCCATCCCTTCAGCCAGCCGGCTGCCTGTTCACCCATCCACCCATCCACCCATCCATCCGTCCGTCCATCCGCCCACCCGCCCGCCCGCCCGCCCATCTGTCCATCCACCCCTCACCCATCCCTCTGTCCACCCCCACCCTTCCCGGCCGGTCCCCCGGGGGTGCCCGTACCTTGCACCACGCAGAGGGACGCGGTGAGGCTGGCCCGGAGCCGCGGGTCCGGCACCGTCTCCACCAACCGAATCAACTTATTCACGTGTTTCTTGGCCCCTTCGTGCCGCTTCACCTCCGCCCGGATGGCGGCCAGCACCTGCTGCCGGGGGGGGCTCATGGCACCCTTAGGTGCGGGCAGGGTCCCGCCGGGTCCCCGGGGTCATGGCTCGGCTCCGCTTGCCGTCGTCCCCCCCTCGGTTCATCCGGCCCCGCCGGGCCGCGCTTCCTGGCTGGCGTCACCCCGGTTGGGTGGCTGGCGTCACCCCGGGGGGGCTGGCGTCACCCCGGGGGGGAGGCTGGCACGGGCGCCCGCCGGCGGGCGCAGGGTTGGGCCTGGGAACCCAGGGAGCACCGGGGCGGCGTGGCGGTGCCCGGCCCCGTCAGCACGTCGGGACACGCCGGAGCCCGTCGGACGGCACGGCACGGCACGGCACGGCACGGCACGGCACGGCACGGCACACCCGCCGCCTCCGGCAGCCCCGCCACGCCGGGGGGGCACGGAGGGGAGATGGGCACCACCGGGCAGGGGCGGCCGAGGGGACACGGCGGGGACACGCCAGCGGCACGGGAAGGACAGGCGGGGGCTGGGACCCGCCAGGGATGGGGACACACGGGGATGCGCACGAGCAGCCAGGCGAGGACATGCGTGTGCTGGGGACGCAACAGGGCACTTAGACGTGCACCCGTGGGAGTGTGTGCAGCCCCGGACACACTGGGGACATGTGTGCAGGCACGCAGACACGCTAACGACATGTGTGCAGTGAGACAGGCCCACTTGGGACATGTGTGCAGCCATATAGACATGCTAACGACATGTGTGCAGTGTGACAGGCACATCTGGGACACGTACAGCCATAGGTACATGCTAGGGACATGCGTGCAGCCACACAGCCACGCTAGGGTCACGTATTCAGTGACAAAGACACACTGAGGACACATGTGCAGCCACAGAGATGCACTAGGGACCTGTGTACGGCGCCACGGGCACAGCAGGGATGTGTCCGGGGCGATGGGGTCTCTCTTTAGGGACATTAGTGGGAGGGGGTAGCGACGGCAGGGATCTGGAGGGTGGGCGCGGGATGGGGCTCTGGGGGGGCGGGAGCCGCTCCCTCCCGGGTGTCCCCGTCCCCGCACCCACGGCCCTGCACCCTGGGCACGTCCCCATCCCGGCTGGGTCCCCCACCCGCCCCACGGCCCCCAGCTCCAGCCTCCCTGGCCCCCCTGAGCTCCCCCAGCTACCCCTTCCCCACCTCTCCCGTGCCCTCCTAGCTCCATCCCCCCGGCACTCACTGCCCCCGCCCCATTCCATCCTCCCCATCCCCCTAAGCCCCCCCAGCTCCATCCTCTGTCTCCCCCACCCCGTGTCCCCCCAGGTCCACACCCCTGGTACCCGCTGAGCCCCCCCAGCTCCATCCTCTGTCCCCCCTGTATCACTCCAGCTCCATCCTCCCTGTCCCCCATATTCCCCCAGCTCCATCCTCCCCCCCCCCTGCGCCCCCCCAGCTCCATCCTCCTCTTCTCCCTACATCCCACCAGCCCCATCCCCCCTGTCCCCACGGGGTCCCCCCCGCACCCCCCATCCCATGGAAGATGTGCTCTAAGCCAGCGTTGAGATCCTTCCCGCTGGGTCGCAAACCCCACCCGCATCTTCGGGTGACCCTGGAAAAGCCTCCTGAGGGGCACAGCCCTGGGGGACAGCACCACCGTGGGGGCAGACGCCCCCCGCCCGGCCGCTGACACCCCCAACCCTCCTCATCAGAATCCCCTTCCCTTGACGAGGAAGGAGCTCGTTAGCGTGGCCGTGACGCGGGCCTGGAAGACGGCGTTGAGGAAGGCCCCCACCTCCTCCTCCTCGGCCGCCACCATCTCCTCGGGGCCCCTCCCGGGTGTCCAGTGGGGCCAGGAAGCGGGAGAGGGTGGGCTTGGGGGGGAGCCTCGTCCCACACACAGGAGGAGCCCCACATGGGGAGGAGGGGGTGACAAGGGGGGCAAGGGGCCGTTTGGGAAGGGGGATGGGGGATGGAGGGATGGGGGAGACAAGGTGTGGGGTGGAGGTGGGGGATGGAGGTTTGGGGTGGAGATTTGGGGTGGAGGTTTGGGGTGGAGGTTTGAGGTGGAGATGGGGGATGAAGATTTGGGGTGGAGGTTTGGGGTGGAGGTTTGGGGTGGAGACGGGGGATGGGGATTTGGGGTGGAGATATGGGGTGGAGATTTGGGGTGGAGATTTGGGGTGGAGATTTGGGGTGGAGATTTGGGGTGGACGGAAGGGTGGGGCCGGAGGGGTGGGCATGGGTGGGTGGACAGATGGGTGCGCGGGTGGGAATATGGGTGCGAGAGGGGACGGACAGCCGAACCCAAGGGGTCTGAGTGGAGACAGACGGACAGAGAGACGAATGCATGGACGGACAGACGGACGTGCTGCAGGGGGGTGTTGGGAAGGCCCGACGGCCGGGTGAGTGCAGGGACAGCTGGGCGGACGCGTGAGCGGATGGACAGACAGACGGGTGGTGCCAGCTGGCCTCGCCGATGACGGGGGGACCCCAGTGCTGGGGGGGGGGACACGGACACCCCGAGCCTGGCTGGGGCAGGTGGGGGTTCGGCTGTACCCCACAACCAACCCTGGCTTGGTTGGGGCACGGCACGGCTCAGAGCGGGGCCAACCCAGGGGCAATTTGGGGACATCCCCCCCCAGTTTTACCCCATCCCCTTCTGGCTGCGCAGGGCAGGGGCTTCCCAGCCCAGCCTCCCCCCCCACATTGGGCGTTTAACACCCCAAAATCTCGGCGACCCTCCCGGGGAGTGGCCCCGCAGCAGCCCCCCCTTTATCACCAGGGGCTGTTGAACATTCGAGGGGGCAAATCGGCCCCTCCGAGGCCTTGGCTGGGAGTGGTGGGGGGCACGGCCCCCCCGCCTGCCCTGCACAAAGCTCCGGGGGGGACCGGGGGGGGCTTGGGTACTGGGGAGGCTGCAGGGGCCGTGAGAGGGAGATAGGTTATGGGGGGTCTGGGGGGGCAATGGGGGGGCCATGGACGCCTATGGGGCTATGGGAGACCATAGGGCAGCCTAACAGTTTGGGGGGGGGATGTAGGTGCCTGTACCCCATAGACCACCACCCCTGGTATGGGGGGGTCCATAGGGTACGAGGGGGGTTGTGGGGAGACCTGGAAGTGCTTAGAAGGACTATGGGGGGGCTATGGGGTACCTGGGGGTGACTAGGGGGCACCGTGGTGGACTGGGGAAGGTTTGGGGGGGGGGTCAGAGGCACCTGAGAGCTGCAGGGGGGGCACAGGGACAGGCAAGGGAGATTATAGGAATTCTGTAGGACGTGGGGGTATAGGGGGCTATAGGGGGCTATAGGGGGCTATAGGGGGCTATAGGGGGCTATAGGGGGCCGGGGGGCGCTACAGGAGGCTGTGGGGGTCCTGGGGGAGCCATGGGGGCCTGAGGGAGGGGCCGGGGGTGCTGGGAGGGCTAGGGGGTCAGACAGGGGACCGGGGGGGCTTTAGGCAACAGGGAGGCTATGGGGGTCCAGCGGAGCTAACAGGGGGTCCGGGGGGGTAATGGGGGGTGTTATAGGCAACCAGGAGAGGGGGTCCTGGGAGGGCTAATAGGGGACCTGTGGGGCGGGGTTATAGGCAGCCAGGGAGGCTGTGGGGGTCCAGGGGCGCTAATGGGGCCCCGAGCGCCTCTGCGGGACCGGGGCGGGGGGGGGGCCCCCCCACAGGAGCCCCGGGGGGTCCCGGTCCCGCCCCCCCCCTCTCGGGCATTCACTGCGGCCTCAGGGCGCTCTGTGCGCATGCGCCGCGCCCCCACCTCGAGCGCTTCCGCCCGTCCTTCCCGGAGCGCAGGCGCAGGGGCGGGGCGGCGCGCAGGCGCAGGGCGGTGGGCGGGGCGGCGCGCAGGCGCAGTGTGGCGCTGGGCGCGGGGCCGGGATTTAAAGGGGCCGGAGCGGCCGGGGCTGCGCTGCCCCCCCACCCCCGGGACCCCCCCGGGACCCCCCCGCCATGGTGTGCGGCGGCTTCGCCTGCTCCCGCAACGCCCTCTGCGCCCTCAACGTGGTCTATGTGGTGAGCGGGGCCGGGGGGGGGGCCTGCAATAATGGGGAACCCCCTTACCCCCCTCCTCGCGATTTGGGGCGGGGGGGGGGGGCGGCCTGTGCCCCCCTCCCGCTGAGGGACTGGGCGCCCGCGCTGCTCTGGGGGTGCTGGGATCCCCTCTTCTTGGGGGGGGGGGGGGGCACTGCTAGGTTCCCCCCCACAAAGGGTGAGGCTGAGGGGGGAGATGGGGGGGGAGCACGGAAGGGGGATCCCCCCCCCAATTCGGGGTTGGGGGGGCTGTGAGGGGACCTTTGGGGTCCCCCCCCGCTCTGGGGGTGCTGCTGCTGGGGCTGGGCGGGGGGGGGGGTGCCCCAGGCCCACGAGTGGGGGGGCCCTCGTGTCCACATCCCTGTGCCTGCTCCATCCTTGTGTGTCCGTGTCGTGTCCCCGCGGGGGGGTCTGGCTGCCCCGGCCCCTCTGCCCGGGGGGGGGGGGGTCACTGGGGGGTGGGGGACGGGGTCTGTGTGTGCCCCCCCCCCCCAAATGGCCTTGGGACCCCACCCCGACCTCAAAGACACGAGACACACACACAATCACAATCTTGGGGGGAGGGGGGGAGCACCCCCCCCCAGCACCCCCCCCGGCACCCCCCCCGGCACCCCCCCCGGCACCCCCCCCGGCACCCCCCCCGGCACCCCCCGCTGCCCTGGGAGTGGGATGGGGGGAGCCGGGGATGCGCCCACATTTGTGAGCCCGCCGGTAGCGATGCCCCAGTGGGGAAACTGAGGCACGGTGGCACCGGGGTGCCCCCCCCCCCGAGGCAGAGGGTGCCTGGGTGACCCCCCCCCCCCCCCGCAGCTGGTGGGGCTGCTCCTGATCGGGGTGGCCGCCTGGGGAAAGGGCTTCGGCATCGTCTCCAGCATCCACCTCATCGGGGGCGTCATCGCCGTCGGCGTCTTCCTCCTCCTCATCGCCATCGTGGGGCTGGTGGGGGCCGTCCACCACCACCAGGTCATGCTCTTCTTTGTATCCTTTAATTGGGGGGGGGGGACGACACACACCCCCGACACGTGACCCCCCCCCTTCCTCAGTGCCCTCCCAACCTCCCCTGGTGTCCCCAGCCCCCTCCGTGGGGATATGGGGGGGGGACAGGGGAGGATGGGGGGGCGGTGAGCCCCCTGCGCTGGGAATATTGGGGGGGGGGTGTGTGTGGCGGGGGCACACACACACACACACACCAGAGGAAATGGGGTCCTGGAAGTGCCACCAGTGGGGGACAGGAGCTTCAGCCTCCGCCCCATGGGCAGAGGGACCCCTGAGGGGGGAGCAGTGGGGTTTATGGGGTGGCATTCAGAGATTTGGGGGCACCCCCCCCTCCTTGACTCAGCCCCCCCCCCCCCCAGTACATGATCATCCTGGGCCTCGTCTTCGTCTTCCAGTTTGGAGTCTCCTGCTCCTGCCTGGCCATCAACCGGAGCAGGCAGGTGGGTCCTGCCCATCCGACTGCCCCGGGGGGGGCACGTTGACACCGCCCCCCCCAGCCCCACGCAGCCCCTGGGGGGGTCTGCAGCCCCCTGAGCGGGGCGCAGGGATGGGGTGGGGGACGCCCCCTCCGACCCTTGGGGGTGTCTCACTGATGGGGGGGGGCGTTATCCCTATGGTGGGGTTGTGGGGGGGGGTCATTGGTTGAATTTTAAGGGGGGGTCTCTGCCCGGTGTCCCCCACCCCCGGCACAGGAGGGGCTTTTCAGCTCGGCTTGGCCCATCCTGAGCAACGAGACGAAGGCGGAGCTGGAGCGGAGGCTGGACTGCTGCGGGCTGCTCAACCGCAGCGCCGACCCCCCTGCCGCCCTCGCCTTCCAGGCCGACTTCCACGTCTGCCCGGCTGTGAGTGGATTTTGGGGGGGGGGGGGGGGACACCCCCCTCTGCTCCTCCCCCCCCAGCCACTCACCCAGTCTCTTTACCCCCCGCCCTCTAGAAATGCAAAACCCTCCTGGGCAAAGACCCCCACGCCAAGTGCCTGACCTGCGGCGAGAAGATGCTCCAGCACTCGGATGAAGCCCTGAAGATTTTGGGGGGGGTTGGGCTCTTCTTCAGCTTCACGGAGGTAACGGGGGGGGGGCAGGGGCACACGCACTTCAGGAGAGGGGGAGGCGTCGCCGCAGCCCCCCCTCCCCTTTGGTTACCCTGTCGCCTCTCCCGCAGATCCTGGGAGTGTGGCTGGCCATGCGCTACCGCAACCAGAAGGACCCGCGGGCCAACCCCAGCGCCTTCCTATAGCGGGGGGGCCCCCACATCCCTGCTTGGGGAGGGGGGCCCCCACATCCCTGCTTGGGGAGGGGGGCCCCCACATCCCTGCTTGGGGAGGGGGGGGGGCCCCCACATCCCTGCTTGGGGAGGGGGGGGGTCCCCACATCCCTGCTTGGGGAGGGGGGGGGTCCCCACATCCCTGCTTGGGGAGGGGGGGGGGTCCCCACATCCCTGCTTGGGGAGGGGGGGGCCCCCACATCCCTGCTTTGGGGGGGGGGGCCCCCACATCCCTGCTTGGGGAGGGGGGGGGGCCCCCACATCCCTGCTTGGGGAGGGGGGGGCCCCCCCACCGCGTCCCCCTGCCGCTGACAGGCCACCCGCTGTGGCCGCATGAAGCCTCGGGCACAGGGCAGCACCCCCCCCACTGCAGTGTGTGTCCCCCCCCAGGGCAGACAGTGGCCAGTGGCCACCCCCGGGGGGGGGGGGGCGGCCCACCTGCCCCCCAGGAGCAACCCCCCCCCCCCGCCCCTGCCAGGGCACAGCACAGCTCCCCGCCCATCCCAGTTTGATTTCCCTCCGCCCCAAACCGGTGCATACATCCCACAGCACCCCCCCCCCCCTCCCCCGGCGTGTGCCCCCCAGCCTGGCCCTGTGCCCCCCTTGCTGCTGGGGGGGGGCCAGGATGGTGTCTGTGTGTGTGTCCCCCCCGCTGCCACCGCAGGGACGTCACCCTGTCCCTGTTCAATAAACGCTCTACAGCGACTCCGGCTCCGGCTCCGTGGGGCAGCCCCCCCTGCCCCCCCCCTCCATGGGGCAGCCCCCCCCCCCCCCCGGGGTGTGTGTTCCCCCCCCCCCCCGACACGCACGAGGTGGGCGAAGCGGCAGGTGGGGAGCTGGGGTGCTGCCCGTGCCCCTTTATTAGCAGAGAAGGGGGGTGCCTGTCCCTGTGTGTTCCCCCCCCAATGCACAAGGGCCCCCCCGGCCCCCCCAGCTCCATCACGCGAGCAGAGCACCAGTGCAGAGATGCGCCGCCTTCCCTTGCACGTGGCTCGCACGAGGACGGGGGGGGCCATGTCCTTCTTGCACGAGGATTGGGGGGGGGGGGGGCCATGTCCTTTTTGCACAAGGAGGCGGGGGCCATGTCCTTCTTGCACGAGGGTTGGGGGGGGCCAAGTCCTTCCAGCTCTCATGAGGAGGGGGGTGGGGGGGGCACCTCCCAGCACCCACCTTGCACGAGGATTGGGGGGGGGGAGGCGCGTGTGTGTGTGTGTGCTCCAGCTCTCCTCGTGGGGGGGGGTCCCAGGCCCCCATGCAAGCCCCCTGCACATCCCCCGAGCTGGAAACGGCTCCACTCTGTGTCTGTAACCGCGGGGGGGGGCTGTGGGGGGTGTTGCAGCAGGGTGGCCCCCCCCTAAATCCAGGTGCTCCCCCCGCCCCCCCCGCAGCAGCTGCTACCCCTCGCCTGCCCCCCGGTCCTGGAGGTAGAGATGCCGCAGGGCGTTGTAGGCTGAGATCCGCTTGTAGGGGTTGAAGGTCAGCATGTCCTGGGGGGGGGGCACGGGGACACCGTCAGGGGACAATGGGGGGGGGGGGGGCAGCCATGGCCCCCCCTCCCTCCCTGCACCCAAAGGGGTCCTGCAGAGCTCAGGGGGCAACGTGGCTCCTTCTGTGTGTGTCCCTGACCGTGCTGCCCCCTGCTTCGGCCCTGGGGGGTGGTGGTGTGTCCCCCCCCCCACACCCACTGACCCCCCCCCCATCTCACCAGCAGCAACTGGGTCCCCAGTGGCTCCATCTCGGGGACGAAGCCCTCGATGGGCTGGGGGGGCCGGGCGGGGAAGGCGCAGCGGGGCAGGGCCACGTCCAGCGGCCAGTCGTCCTCCACAGGGAGCCCGATCATGCTGGGGGGGCGCACAGAGGGGCAGGGTAAGGGCTGGGGGACCCCCTGCCCCCCCCCCCTCAGCCCCCCCAAAACTTACTCAAAAATCTTGCCCAGCTGGTCAGCTTCTGAGTTACCACAGAAAAGTGGCCTGGGGACACGCACACACAGGGAGATGTCACGAGGGTGGGGGGCACAGGGGTGGCACCCCCAGGTGAGGGGCAACCTGAGCATCCCCACCCAGCAGCACCCCGGGGTGCCCCCCAGCAGTGCCCCCCGTCTGCCCCCCCAGCTCACTTCCTCCGGAACATCTCGGCGAAGATGCAGCCCACGCTCCACATGTCCACGGGCGTCGCGTAGGTCGACTGCAGCAGCACCTCGGGCGCCCGGTACCACAGGGTCACCACCTGCCACGGCACCCACGGCTGTGCCCACCCGGGACCCACAGCGCCCCGGGGTCACGGCCAACCCAACCCACGGCTGCGCCCACCCGGGACCCACAGCGCCCCGGGGTCACGGCCAACCCAACCCACGGCTGCGCCCACCCGGGACCCACAGCGCCCCGGGGTCACAGCCAACCCAACCCACGGCCACCCACAGCTGCACCCACCCGGGACCCACAGTGCCCCAGGGTCACGGCCGACCCAACCCACGGCCACCCACAACACCCTGGGGTCACGGCCAAACCAACCCATGGCCACCTTGATCTGTGGGGTCAACCTGGGCCCCACAGCTCCCATAGCCCATTGGCCACCCAAACCTGTGGCCACTTGGCCCCAAGGCTCCCCAGACCCACAGCCACGCGCTAAATCCACCCGGGACCCACAGCTCCACCCAGTTCCTGGCCACCCAGACCTGTGGCACCCGGCACTGCGGCCACCTGGCTTTAGGGCCACCCAGGACCTTGGACTTAAAGCCAACCTGACCCACGGTCACCAGGATCCCCAGCCACCCGCGTCTGTGCCCACCCGGGACCCACAGCTCCTTGGCTTCATGGCCACCTCAGCCCGTGGCCACCAGCCACCTGGCTCTGAGCCTACCTGGGACCCACAGCTTCTTGGGGTCACGGTCAACCCAACTCGTGGCCACCAAGACCCACGACCCACCTAGACCTGAGCCCACCTGGGACCCACAGCTCCTGCCACCAACCCCCACGGCCTCTGGCCCCCCCCCCCCACGCACCACGGGGGTCAGGGCCATCTGGCAGCTGTAGATACGGGCCAGGCCGAAGTCGGCCAGCTTGACCTGCCCGCTGCTGGTCACCAGGATGTTCTCGGGCTTCAGGTCCCGGTGCACGATGCAGTTCGAGTGGAGGAACTCAAGGCCACGGAGGAACTGACGCATCAGGTCCTGGGGGGTGACAACGCCGGCCATGAGCAGCGCCCCCCCCCCCCCCCCCCAAAACTCCTCGACCCCCCCCGGACCCACCTTGATGGTGTCGAGGGGCAGCCCGGGCGCAGGCGCCTTGTCCAGGTAGGTCTTCAGGTCCTGGTCCACGTGCTCGAAGACCAGCGTCACCTTGGTCTCGCGCTCTGTCCTCGCGCTGGCGCACACGTCCATCAGCCTGGGGCACGGGGGGGGTCAGCGGGGTGGCGGCTCCCCCGGGACCCTCATCGCCGCTCCCCACGCTCCCCCCGCCCAGGAGATGCAGGGCGGGAGACGGTCCCCCCTCACCCCATGGCCGGAGGTGGTGCCTGTCCCTTGTCCCCCCGTCCCACGACGATGGGGTGGCAGACGGTGCAAAGCCCCCTCACCCCCCGCCAGCGCGGCCACGGAGCAGGGGACAGGGGCTTCAGCGGGGCAGCGCCGTGGGGCAGCGCCGTGGGGCAGCGCCGCGGGGCAGTGCCGTGGGGCAGCGCCGTGGGGCAGTGCCGTGGGGCAGCACCGCGGGGCAGTGCCGCGGGGCAGCATCGTGGGGCAGCGCCGTGGGGCAGCGCCGTGGGGCAGCGCCGTGGGGCTCACCGGACGATGTTGGGGTGGTCAAAGTGCTCGAGGCGCTTGAGGAGGGCGACCTCGCGGACGGTGCTGAGGGGGAGCCCGTTATCGGTCGTCTGCACCCGCACGTTCTTCAGCGCCACGAACTTCCCGCTCTGCCGGTCCCGCGCCTTGTACACGGTGCCGTAGGCGCCCACCCCGATCTCGGCCACCGGCTCGTACTGCGTCCGCCCGTCCTGCGCCATCCTGCCGCGGCCCTGCACGGCCGGCAGCTGCACCCCGCACCCCGGCACCCCGCACCGGGCACCCCACACCCCAGCACCCCACACCCCGGTACCCCGCACCCAGCACCCCACACCCCCGCACCCCACACCCCGGCACCCCGCACCCCGGCACCCCGCACCCCGCACCCAGCACCCCGCACCCCGGCACCCCGGCACCCCGCACCGGGCACCCCACACCCCAGCACCCCACACCCCGGTACCCCGCACCCAGCACCCCACACCCCTGCACCCCACACCCCGGCACCCCGCACCCCGGTACCCTGCACCCCGCACCGGGCACCCCGCACCCTGGTACCCCGGCACCCCGCACCCGGCACCCCACACCCCAGCACCCCACACCCCGGCACCCCGCACCCCGGTACCCCGCACCCCGCACCGGGCACCCCACACCCCAGCACCCCACACCCCGGCACCCCGGCACCCCGCACCCGGCACCCCACACCCCGGCACCCCGCACCCGGCACCCCACAGCCCAGCACCCCGCACCGGGCACCCCGCACCCTGGCACCCCGCACCCTGCACCCCACACCCCAGCACCCCGCACCCCGCACCCGGCACCCCACACCCCGGTACCCCGCACCGGGCACCCCGCACCCTGGTACCCCGGCACCCCGCACTGGGCACCCCACACCCCAGCACCCCGCACCCAGCACCCCGCACCCCGCACTGGGCACCCCGCACCCCGCACCTCCGGCACCCCGCACCGGGCACCGGGCACCCTGCACCACACTCTGGCACCCCAGCACCCCGCACCCCGGCACCCCAGCACCCCCGGCACCCTGCACCCCGCACCGGGCACCCCAGCACCCCGCACCCCGGCACCCCACACCCCCGGCACCCAGCCCCCCACATCCCCCAGCACCCACCAGCCGGCACCCCGCGAGCCCCCCAGCACCCCCGTGTCCCCTGGCACGGCACAGCCCCCCCCTGCGCCTCGACCCCCCCCCAGCACCCCCTGGGACCCAGCACCCAGGTCCCCAAGCACCCCCAAACCAGCCCCCCCCCCCCACCGGCACCCAGCACCCTGCAACACCGGGCAGCCCCCCCCGGCACCCCGCGACCCCCCCGCCCTCGGCACCCCCCAGCACCCACCCCACGCCCCCCCCACAGTCAGCACGCAGCACCCCACGACCCCCCGCACCCCCCACCCCCCCGGGCCCTGCTCCTCCCCTCTGCGACCCTACAATAACAACCTCCGGGGTCGCCCCCGCCCCCACTGACACGCGTGGAAGGGGGAAGTGACACCCCCCACCCCCCCCAACGGGGAGAGCGAGTGTACAAAAGGAGGGGGGAGGGGCACCCGCGTGGGGACACCACGTGCGCGGTGGGTGTGTGGGGGTGGGGGACACGAACACGCGGGACTCACCGGGCGCGCGGGACTATGCGGTGCGAGCCGGGCGGGGGGGGCGGGGCTGGAGGACCGGAACCAGCGAGATGGGCCGGCAGGAAGGGCCGGGGGGGGGGGGCGAGAGTGGGGGGTGACTCGGACTCGTGGGTCCGTGGACTGGGGGGCGCGGAGGGAAAACGCCCCCCGTGTGGGTCCCCACGCGGCTGCCTTGGGCGGGGGGAGGGGCACTCGGACGCGTGGGTCCCTCCCACGGGGGCGAGGGGCGGGGGGGCGCCCCCTGGCAGCCACGGCGGGAGCACCGGGCGGGCCACGCGGGACCCTCGGACACGCGTGGCCGCAGGACAGGCCGTGTTGTCCACACCCCCCCCCCCCAAGCTCCCCCCAGCCCCGCCACAACACTCCACGCTCGGTCCCCCCCCCACCGTGGGGGACACGGGCCGTGGGAGCGGGGCACGGGTGGGCGTGGGGGTCAGGGCACGGACAGTGCCGGCGGGGCGCGGAGACACGGGGCTGGAGTAGAGGGAGGGGGGACAGGGGAACGCAGCACCCACGGGGGACACGGGTGTGGGGAGGGGAGGGGGGGGTGCCGGGACCCCCCCGAGCTCTGTCCGTGGTGCTGAAGCGGCCCCACGGCGGCAGCTGAATCACGGCGCGGGGGGGGGGAACCGGACCCACGGGGTTACCCGAGCCCACGGGGGACGGATGATGGGCCCCACGGGGAGACCCAGGTCCGGGCGCTGAGCCGGGGGGGGGCTCACACCTATGGTGCAGCCCCCACTCCCCCCCAGTGCACAAGTACACTCGTGGGCACAACCCCCCAGTCCCAGCCCTCCCCACCCCTTTCCTTCGCTGCACCCAGCCGCACCAGTGGGTGGGGGGGGTCCCACGGGTGCCCTAGGGACGGGGGGGGGTGCGCATCGGGTCGGTGCCCACCCAGCGCCGGTGTCACCGCGCTTGGCTGCATTGGGGGCCCCACGAGGGTCCAGAGTCCCCAGTGCTGACGTCAGCCCCATCCCCACGTGGGTCATTGACACAAACACCCCCCCTCCCCGTGGGTGGCACCACCCACGTTAACCCTCCCGTGGGCGGTGTGGGGCAGGGCCTGCTGCTGCCCCCCCCCCCCCCCCCATGCTCCCCCCCGAGTGACAGCGCTGCCACCCGCAGCAGCAGTGGGGGGGGGGTGGTGGTGACCCCACGGGACGTGTCGGGGGTGACGTGGGTCGGGGTGGGGGGAGGACACAGCGACGTCACAGGGGGGGGTGACCGTGAGGTCATGGGGGTGACACCCCCGTGGCTGTGGGGACACGGCGGGTGACGCAGCCACGGGGGTGGAGGCATGGGGGGCACGCGGGGGACTGGCCTGTGGCACAGCTTTGGTGCTGGGACCCCACTCAGGACACCGGCCCCACCCCCCCACTCTGCCGTGGGGGTGCGGTGGGGTGGGGGGGGCCCCACGCCGGAGCCGCCCGGCGGCAGCGGGGCCACGTCACCCTTGGGTGCCGCTGGCACGTCGGGGCAGGCACCCACCCACCCACCCACCGGCACCCCACGGCGCGGGGGGGGGGGGGGAGTGCGGCGGGTGCTGAGTCACCCCGAAAAAACCGGCGGCGCGAGGAGCAGCCGGCACCAACGCACCCAAAAAAAAAAAACACAAAACCCAAACAACTTTATTAGCCAATAAATAACCCTTTAAATAGAGCCGGTGGGTGTGAAATGAGGTCGGGGCCCCCGCTGGCGGGGGGACACGCTGGGGGGGGACGCGCTGAAGGGGGGGCACTTGCGTGTCCCCCGCCCGTCCCCACTCACCGGCTGAGGAACTGGAGGTTGATGGTGGCCTCGGGGACGAGCAGCGTGCGGGTCATGGGGCGCACGCGGCCGCCGCCGGGCTCCGGCCGCACCTCGAAACGCAGGAGGATCTGCCGGGGAGCCGGGAGGAGGTGTCGGGGTTTTGGGGACACGGGGTTTTGGGGATGGGCTTTGGAGGGGACAGGGTTTTGGGGACAGGGGGTTTAGGGGACACGGGGTTTTGGGGATGGGGTTTAGGGGACACGGGGTTTAGGGGACACGGGGTTTTGGGGACACGGGGTTTAGGGGACACGGGGTTTAGGGGACAGGGGGTTTTGGGGACATGGGATTTAGGGGACACGGGGTTTAGGGGACACGGGGTTTAGGGGACAGGGGGTTTAGGGGACAGGGGGTTTTGGGGACATGGGGTTTAGGGGATGGGCTTTGGAGGGGACGGGGTTTAGGGGACACAGGGTTTTGGGGACACGGGGTTTTGGGGACACGGGGTTTAGGGGACAGGGGATTTAGGGGACAGGGGGTTTAGGGGACACGGGATTTAGGGGACACGGGGTTTTGGGGACACAGGGTTTTGGTGACACGGGGTTTTGGGGACACGGGGTTTAGGGGACATGGGGTTTAGGGGACATGGGATTTAGGGGACAGGGGGTTTAGGGGACAGGGGGTTTTGGGGACATGGGGTTTAGGGGACACGGCATTTAGGGGACACGGGATTTAGGGGACACGGGATTTAGGGGACACGGGGTTTTGGGGACACGGGGTTTCGGGGATGGGCTTTGGAGGGGACGGGGTTTTGGGGACACGGGGTTTTGGGGACACGGGGTTTCGGGGCCGGGGTCGTGGGGACATGGGGTCTTGGGGGGCTGGGGTTTTGGAGGTGAGGTTTTGGGGCCGGGGTTTTGGGGACACGGGGCGGGGGGGTGACACTCACCTGCGCCAGCGCCAGGTGGATCTCCAGCTCGGCGAGGCGGCGGCCGACGCAGCTGCGCTTGCCGACCCCGAAGGGCAGGGAGGCGAAGGGGTGGCGGGCGGCGTCCCGGCGCAGCCAGCGCTCCGGGAGGAAGGAATCGGGGGCCGGGAAGGAGCGGCCGTCGCGGGAGGTGGCGTAGTGACAGAGGGTGATGAGGGTCTGGGGAGGGGACAGGCGGAGGCGCGGGGGGTGAGCGGGGACCCCGGGGAGGGAGGAGGGGGGTGACACCCGGGCCGGGGCTCACCTTGCGCGGCACCAGGTAGTCGCCCACGCGGATGTCGCGGTCGGGGACGACGCGGGCGTTGGCGGGGATGACGGGGTAGAGCCTGCACGGGGACAGCGCGGTGCTGCCGGCGACGCCGTCCCCGTCCCGGCCCTCCCCTCACCCCCGCCCGCCCCCAGCCCGTCCCCGCGTCCCCACCTCAGGGTCTCCTTCACCACGGCTCTCAGCAGGGGCACCCGGTCCAGCGCGGCGGCCGAGGGGCCGCAGCCGGTGCCCAGCGCCGCCGCCAGCTCCCGGTGCAGCTCCGCCTGCACCCCGGGGTGCCGCGCCAGCTCGTAGAGACTCCACGACAGGGTGCTGGAGATCTGGGGGGCGGGGGGGGGGACAGGCGCATCAGCGGGGCCCCGGGGAGACAGGGCCAGCACCCCACCTCCTCTCCTCACCGTGTCCACCCCGGCCAGCAGCAGCTCGGTGACGTTGCCGCAGATGACCTTCATGGGGACCTTCTCCCGGGCCAGCTGGTCGGTGAGACACGTCGTCTCCGCCGGCCCCCCCGGCCGGGCCGCCTCGGCCACGCGCCGGTCGATGTGAGCCTTGGCTGAGGAGGACGAAGCCCCGTGAGCGTCCCCGTGGCCGAGGGGGCGTCGGCTGTCCCCAGGCGCCCCTGAGGGGGGGTCCCCTCACCGAAGGCGAACATGTAGTCCCAGGCGTTGCAGAAGGTCTGCCAGGGCTTGGGGAAGAGGCGGTGGAGGGGCTTGGGCATGGCCATGGTGAGCAGCGTCATGACGAACATGGTGTTGATGGAGCGGATGAAGGTCTCCGTGTCCTGCGGCACCTCCGGCTCCAGGCAGCCCAGGCGGGAGGCGAAGAGGACGGAGGAGATGCCTGTCGGGGGTGGGAAGGGGGTGAGCCAGGGGACGAGGGGCACCCCGGGGACACGGAGGAGCTCGGGGAACGCGAGGAGCCCTTGGGGACGCGGGGGTCCTGGGGGACGCGGGGACAAGGGGCACCCCGGGGATGTGGGGTATCACGGGGGACCTCTGGGGACACGGGAGTCCCTGGGGGGATGTGGTGAGGTCAAGGGGCACCCTGGGGACATGGAGGACCCCGGGGAACATGGGAGCCCTTGGGGACACGGGGGTCCTGGGAGATGTGGTGGGGATGGGGGGCACCCTGGGGACAAGGGGCACCTTGGGGAGCACCACGGGGAGCCCTGGGGGACACAGGAGCCCCTGGGAATGTGACAGAGACGGGGTGAGGACAAGGGCCACCCTGGGGACACGGAGGGGACCTCGGGGAACAGGAGGAGCGCGGGGGGGGGGGACGGACTGACAGAAGAGTCCTTGGGGCACAGAGGGTGCCCTGGGGACACGGGGAGTCCCTGGGAGACTCTAAGGGATGTGGGGATCCCCTGATGGGATCCATGGGGAGACCTGGGGGGGGACACAGGCAGACCTGGGGGAGGGGACAGAGAAGTCACAGGGCGACCCTGGGGGACACAGGGGCCGTGGGGACACAGAAGGTCTGGGGGACACGGGGACCCCAGGGGGGACACGAAGAGACCCTGGGGGGGACATGAGAGTCATGGGGAGCTCCTGGCAGACACCCCACGGGGGGACCCACAGCCCCGGGCTGTGCGTGTGTCCCCCCACGCACCTTCCAAGCCGAACTTGTAGAACTCGGTGGCGACGTCGGGGACGAGGGTGCTGGGGGTGACGGTCGCGCTGGCGCTGCAGCCGCCGCAGCAGGTCGCCCACCACGCCAGCCAGCGGCCCCGCGTACCCCTCGGCCGCCCGCGGCCGCAGCAGCAGCCGCCCCAGCAGCCGCCGCAGCCGCTGCCACTCCTCGCCCTCCCTGCAAGGACCGGGGGGCACGGGCTGGGGGGGGGGGGGACACGTGTGGGGATGTCCCGCCCCCCCTCCCCGAAAAGAAGAGGCTGGCGCACCCCAGGTGTGAGCGTGGGCACCCGCGTGTGCCAACGGGTCTGTGCACGTCCCCCCGTGCCCACGAGTGGGTGCCCGTGGGCAGCCCCGGGGTGGGCTGGGGGCTGAGCACAGGCTGGGGGGGGGGGGGGGGGGG